GCGCGCGCTCACATGTGTGTTGAGTGAGCATGGCTGAGTGCAGCTTTGCAGCTGACATACCCTGAGTTCGAATCCCAGCTCTGCGATTTATCAAATCCGGGACTTCTCTGAGCCTGTTTTCAAATCTGTAGAAAAGAGAAGCTGCTAAAAGACCCTACCTCAGGTCAGTTGTTCAGATGAAATGGGCAGCTAGATGTAAAGGGCTAATTGTAGAACTGGGCACAGGATAGATGCTAAAGAAAGACATCCTTACTGTGACTACATTTTTCCCTTATAATTTTGTAAAGGCAAGATGTACTCGTAGTAAAACATTTCAAACTGTATGTAGGTGTGTCCCGCCCTAACCCCTGGCACCAGGCCCCTTTCTCAGAGTCAGCCATTGTTCCCAGTTCTGTTTGGAATCTTTGCAGATCTTCTAGGCCCAGGCAGGCATTGGAAACAATAGTTCTGATCTCCAACATCAAGGAGGTGGGGGAAGGGAAGGCTGATGGCCCACCACTCATCGGCCAAACCGGGACTCTGCACACGCACGTGGCCATGTGGCCCTTGTGGCCACAGGATGCCAGCGCTGGCAGAGCATCCCCCGCCCCACTCCTACAGCTAAGATATCCCCACTGGAAAAGACCATGTGACCATCGGGGACTCTGGTCATCCTCCAGTGAGGGCTGAAGGGGTTGAGCTAAGAGAGTTGACCGAGGGCTGCACCAACCCTCCGCCAGTCAGGCAGAGACAATTACTGAGCTCTCTGTCCACTACCTCAAGGGACATTGTTAGTCACCAAGCCTGGGGTCTGGGGAAAGTGAGGTTCCTGCCCTCAGAATCAGCCAGTCTGTGTGAAGAGACTGGACATGCCGAATGCTTGACACAGACAGAGAACCAGCATGAATGAGTATATGTGTGTCCGTGTCTACATATTCAGGGGGGCAGGGGGCCTCCATTCTAAGATCCTGGTTAAGGGGGCAGGCAACATGGTGGAGGGTGGGGAGTTTCCCTTCCCACTGTGCTCCCAGGCCTTAGGGCCAGGCTGGGTGTGGGCTGGAGCCTTTCACTTCCCCAAATGTAATAATACCCCTAAGTGGGAGGTGGGGGGCGGGGCTCAGGGCGGGGCCATGGCCTTTCCACACCAGGCAGACAGGTGCCCGGCTAGGTTGCCAGGACTCCCTTGGCCTTGGGGGACCAATCATGGGGGCGGGTTCTGAGCCTGGCTTGGCCTGGGCCCGCCCTCATTGACTCCCTCCATCCTCACCCCTGCAGCTGGACCTCCAACCCCAGGCCAAGGTGTTGATGTCTGTACAGTATTTCTTAGAAGACGGAGGTAAGGCCCTCCCTAATTGGGGTGGGGACGTAGGTTCAGAGACCAGAGCCAGGATGGAGGTTTAGAAAAGCAGCCCCCATCAGCGATCTGTTCAGGGCCACCCTGGGAGGGACTGCAGCAGTGTTACCCCTCATGTGGCTGCAGGTGACCTTACCACTCCATGGTCCCCAGATTGTAAGCAGTCTCTTCGGGGTGAAGATGAGATGAAGTTCCCAACAATGATCCGCCGTGGAGCCATCAAACAGGCCAAAATTCACTACATCAAGAACCACGAGTTTATCGCCACCTTCTTTAGGCAGCCCACTTTCTGTTCTGTGTGCAAAGATTTTGTTTGGTAAGACCTGACTGTGCCCACCGGGGGTGGGGTGGGGGTAGGGAGGGCCATACCCAGTGCTTCCCTGTACTCACCGACCTGGGGATTTGCCTTTCAGGGGTCTCAACAAGCAAGGTTACAAATGCAGGCGTAAGTATCTCTACAGTCCAGTTTGTACGCACACGTGTGTGCATGTGTGCCTGCCAGTCCCTGCGTGTGTTCATAGTACAGCCTGAGTCCCTGTGTTGGGACCGCATGTCTGGACAAAGACTGTGAGCTTGAGTGTGTGCACGTGGGATTTTCCACGTCAGAGTGCATGTGTGTGTATGATAGCTGCCTTCAGAGAGTGCTATAGCTGGCTTTCTCTGGCTCACGAAAGCCAGCCAGGTCTGCGTATCTCTTCCCAACTCTTGCATTCAGTGACATCACATTGGTAGCCTACGATAGGCCACAGTGGAGTATTTACCCAGAAATCAGCCAGTGCTGCACATCAGGGCTCTTTTCCCCCAGAGAGGCTGTCACATCTTGACTGGCACACCCCTGGCTGCTTGTGTGCTTCTGTTAGATATGTGTGCATCTGGGTGCACATATATGAGCACATCTGTCTCCATAGGGTACACACACCAGGCGATGTGGGCATAGGCTCTAAAGCCAGATGCCTGGGTTTGAATCCCAGTTCTACCACTTCCTAGCTGTAGGACCTTAGGCAAAGTTACTTAATCTCTCTGTGCCTCAGTTTCCTCATCTAAAATAGGGATAATAGAGTCATTGTGGAGATCAAATGGAATAAAATATATGTGCTGTTTTTAGGTGTGTCTGGCACATGGTAAACATTCCATGTAAGAAACCTTGTCATTATTACACATGCTGTGTATGTATGTCCAGGTGTCTTTGAGTTAGGGTGTATCAGTGTGTGCATGTGTGGGAGAGAGAGCTTAGGAGCTGTTTGCTGTCCTGGGGTGTAGAAGAGGGGCTCCCCTGCCTCCATTTCTCGCTGCAGTACCCCACGCCCCTCACTTCTGTCCCCCTCCCTGCCCCAGGACCCCTTGAGCCTTTCTTAATTGCAGATCCACCAGATTGGCCTGTCCTCTCTGCCCCGTCCTTTTAGGCCCCTCCTTTAAAGGCTGGCCAGAGGAGAGAAAACTCAAGCTTTGGGCCCAAGGCCTCTGTGGGGTGAGGGTGTGGGCAGTTGGGAGAATGGTGGCTTTGTGTAGAGGGCTGGACTAGGCCAGCTCACGGACTCTGCTCTCCCATCCCCCTCCTGGGCCTGCGCCTCCTCAAGAATGCAACGCTGCCATCCACAAGAAATGCATCGACAAGATCATCGGCCGGTGCACCGGCACTGCGACCAACAGCCGGGATACCTTAGTGAGGCTGGGGCCAGGGCAGGGCCGGAGGATGTGGGGGGCTTCGCCAGTTGGGAGGGGTCTGGGCTCTCCTTCCCGCTTCCGCATGTTTCTGGTCCTTCCTTGGACCTCTGGATTTCCCAGTCCCCAGTGGATTCCTGTTCACATCTTGTCCCGCATGGGGTTTGGGGGAGAGCTAGGGGTTAAGGAAGGGGCTAGAGCTGATATGTGACTCTTAACCTGTGACCACCCCCACCCCAGTTCCAGAAAGAACGTTTCAACATAGACATGCCGCACCGGTTCAAGGTTTACAACTACATGAGCCCCACCTTCTGTGACCACTGTGGCAGCCTGCTCTGGGGTCTGGTGAAGCAGGGATTAAAGTGTGAAGGTGCGTGTTACCTACCTCTGTGGGCTGGGACATAGATGGGAGGGGGGAGTGGGGTCCCAGCGGTGCCTACCCACCCAGGCCTCACAAACTGATGCTGCCTTTGCCCCCTCGCTGGTGGATTTCACATGGGGAGGCCTTGGTGACCCCTCCCTACTGGCCCAACTGGCTTTGCCATTTACCTGCTGTGTGATCACTGGACAGTCTCCACATCCTCAAGTGTAAGATAGGGTCAGCGTAGAGTAGGATCCAGAAAGCCACGGCCACACATGAGCAGGTGCTCTCCAGACACACCTCACAGACCCCCTCTCCTGCCCCAGCTTCACTAATAGAGGAGAAACAAGAGACCCCAGAGGAAAAGGGCTTTGTCTGCGTTGTCCCTCACGTTCTCTGAGGAGTTCCGAATTAGATCCCACATTTTTTGCTTTCTCTTTTTCTCCTTTAAATAATGAAAGCTTCGAAGTGCTCGTGATGGCTTCAGATACATTTTTTCCTAAAGACAGGAAATCCAGCAGACTCCCACCAAAGCCCTCCTTTCTCCAGCTCTCTCGCCCGCCTGTTCCTGACCTCAGCTGGGCCCAGGGCAAGGGGCATAGTTCTCCCGCAGCCTGTTGGCTGCCTTGCTGGTCAGGGGCTCTGATAGCCCTGCTTCTCCCTTACCCCAGACTGTGGCATGAACGTGCACCATAAGTGCCAGAAGAAGGTTGCCAACCTCTGCGGCATCAACCAGAAGCTCTTGGCCGAGGCGTTGAACCAAGTCAGCCAGGTGGGCAGCACCGTGGGAACCCCAGACAGAGGGTGGCAGGGCCGGGGGGTAGTCAGGGCTCACACCCACTCCTGGGGAACCATAGTGGGAGGCTTTATATCCAAGATTCTACTTCTGGAAGATCTAGTTCAAGAATTAGGCAGCAGAGGGTGCTGGGCTTCTTCTCATGAGAAATTAATTATTACAAGCAGCTCTTTACTTGAGGGTTGAGCCTGGGGGCCCCGAGGTTGGAACACTGGGAACTAAAAGCCTTTGTGTGTGTGTTTTGTGTATGTGGTGGGTGTGGGTGGCACACGAAGGATGCCACAAAACTTTAAGGCAAAATTCTAGACTCGGTCACAAGTGAAGGCAACATAAATAAAAATCTATTGAGTAAGTGGTTGGGAAGGTGGTATCCAATTTACAAAACTTTTGTTTGTAATCACTGTCTTCCAGACCACAGAAGCATCCCTGTGCTAATGGAAGAGTTGGGGGGTGTGGGGCGGTTCAGGGAGGGATCCCGGGCTCTGCCCCTGCTGTCCCCCATTGGTATCTATGGTGGAGTTATGGATGGTTGGGGTCATCCCTCTGGGCTGGGAGTTCCAACCATGGTATGACCGACCGTCCCCCCAACCCCTACACCCTCCTCCAGAGATCCAGTCGGAAGTCAGAGACAGAGTCTGCAGAGTCTGTTGGGATCTACCAGAATTTTGAGAAGAAGCCAGGAGTCCCTGGAGATGATGCCCCAGGTAAAGCTTGGCCCATTTCCCCCAGGAAAGCCCCCATTCCCCACTAGGGCCCAGGACGGAGTCTGTCCTTCCTCAGCTACCGTGATACCTGAGAGGAGGCACCACCTTGGGGAAGGAGCCGGCCCCTTCCTCTCTGAAGCCCCTTACCCCAGCCTACTCCTGGGCCCCAGGGGAGGAGACTTGGCGGCCGGAGACCTGAGTCTGAAGTGCCATCTCTCTAGCAGACAATGGGACCTATGGCAAGATCTGGGAGGGCAGCACCAGGTGCAACATTGAGAACTTCGTCTTCCACAAGGTCCTGGGCAAAGGCAGCTTCGGGAAGGTAAGGGGCCACCTAGCTCTGGGGCAGCCCAAGCAGCCCAGAGGCACCTGCTCCTCACCCTACCTGACTTCTTCCTGGTTGGGTGCGGCTGTGGTGCCCTGGCCTTTGGCCCCAGCCTCTCCTGCTCAGCATCCCTGCCCACCTTTCAGGTGCTGCTTGCAGAGCTGAAGGGCAAAAAGGAGTTCTTCGCTGTCAAAGCCCTCAAGAAGGACGTAGTTCTGATTGACGACGACGTGGAGTGCACGATGGTGGAGAAGCGGGTGCTGGCGCTCGCCTGGGAGAATCCCTTTCTCACCCACCTCTTCTCCACCTTCCAGACCAAGGTGCTTGACCCTCCCACTGTCATTGCCCCTGGGGCTGCAGCCCCCCTCACCCCCCGCCATGGCAGGGCCATGTCTCCTACCCGGACCACTTAAGGCAGTGCTGTGTCCCCATCCTCCGACTCCCAAGGGCAGGGCCCTGTCTCCTCTCCTCACATCCCCCAGGGCAGAGTTGTCCCTCATTTTGGTGACCCTCAGCAAGGGAGCCCCCCTTCTATTTCTGTGCCTCTGCTTACCACCCGCCCCACCCCAGGATCACCTGTTCTTCGTGATGGAGTTCCTCAATGGGGGGGACCTGATGTATCACATCCAGGACAAAGGCCGCTTCGAGCTGTACCGTGCCACGTATGTGAGGGCCCTGTGGGGGGAAGAGCCCACTGCCGGGCTGCCCGCTATTCCTCCTTCCTGCTCCCTTGAGAAGCCAGCCTGGGGTAGAGCTGGGGTTGGAGAGATTTGGGGTAGCTGGGGCCGCCCCCACTGTATGGAGAACCTGGGCAGTGGGTGAGCTCTGGCTGGGAGCACAGCACGGACATGCCTCCCTCCTGTTCCCTCCTTGGGTCTCAGCCAGCGCAGCCTCACAGATGGTGATCCTGCAGCACACAGGAACCCTGAAGTGTCACCCCCAGACTAGCATGCACCCCCACCCCAAACTCTGTGTCTGCGTACATATGTGTACCAATATATACAAATGCATACACTCTTATGACCAAATTGTCTTATTTGGAGCTTTTCCTTCCTAATTTTCTTTTCTGCCCTGGCTGCCAGCCCCTACTTGCCTGATAAAAGATGTGCTTGATCAGGCCCAGGTTGTCCATGGAGTTATTTGCAGCATTTCCTGCCCCGGGGGGTAGGGATGAGGGACCAGGGAGAAGCAAGGGCTGGTTGGCAGAAATTCCAGAATTTTTTTCTCTCTCTCTCTCTCTCTCTCTCTCTCTCTCTCTCTCATATCCAGGTTTTATGCAGCTGAGATAGTCTGTGGACTACAGTTTCTACACAGCAAAGGGATCATTTACAGGTACAGGGATGGGGGCTTGGGGTTTAGGGGAGCTTTTAGGAGGAGAAGCTCCCACCATGTCATATCCTCTGAAATGCTCTGAGTGGGGCCTGGCACAACTATGGCCCCATCTCCACTTGGAATCAGTCTTTGGTTGGGTATTTGCCTAAACCTCCTACTTCATTGCTAGAATTCCTTGTGGCCCCTTAGCTGAGGCTGGCACGGATCCAGGGACTGGGAACTCACTGCCCATACTTGGTGACATTGGCTGGAGAGCGGCACTGACTGGTTCAGTGTCTCCCTTCCTCAGAGCAATCAGTCTTGCTCTGAAGCCCCATCTGAGCAATCTAAGCTTCCACCAATAGGGACTGGTTCCCTAAACTCTCACCCAATAAATGACGGCCCCATGCTACAGTAGATTAGTATGCACCCATCAAAAAGGCTGAAGCCACGTTCTGTGTCCTGATGTGGGATGATGTCAAGATATGTCGTTAAGTGGAAAACCAATCTGTGGGACGGTGTGTATTGAATATTAGGGTTCAGATTTTGAAAGGTGAGGGTAAGATACATAGTGTAATGTGCTTATCTGTACCTAGAATCACTCTAGGTAGGGCCTCGCGATCGAGGTTAGTGGAAGGTGGACTTCATTTGTGTTGTTTGTCCTTTCCCATTGCTTGTTATCATGAGCATAAATTATCCATTCAAATAACCAACCACGTAAAAATAGACATGGTCCTTGCCCTTGTGGAGTCAGACAAACCAGAGCTCAGGGCTACTTCCATTGCTGACCACCTAGGTGACCCTGGGCAAGTGACATCACCTCTCTGAGCCTCGTTTTGGGCTTCAGAAAGTAGGATGGCATGTGTCCAGTGTGTAGAACCTGGTAGGCGGCTTGCAGGAAGCACCTGTTTTAGTACCTCTTTCCCTATTGCTTCCTTTCCTCTTCCTCATGCCCTTGTCCCCTTGGGGAGAGTCCTAGGCCTACGGAGCTGAAAAGGAGAACATGGGGACGGGGGGACAGGAGGAGAATTGGCTCCTCATGACCCACTCCTGTCCTTCCCCATCAGGGACCTCAAGCTGGACAATGTGATGCTGGACCGGGATGGCCACATTAAGATTGCTGACTTTGGGATGTGCAAGGAGAACATCGTTGCGGAGAAACAGGCCAGCACCTTCTGTGGCACCCCTGACTATATCGCCCCCGAGGTAAGCAGTCAGCCTCCCAGCCACCAGCCTAGTCAATGAGGTGGAGCCAGGAAGGCTTCCCCAAAACAGTGATGTCCACGCCAAAGCCAGGAGGGTGAGGAGGCCTGGCCAGGGCTCGTGCTCTGGGCCTTCTCAGCTCCAGCACCCCTTCTCCTGCCTCAGATCCTGCAGGGCCAGAAGTACTCGTTCTCTGTGGACTGGTGGTCCTTTGGAGTCCTTCTCTACGAGATGCTCATTGGTCAGTCCCCCTTCCATGGTGACGATGAGGATGAACTCTTCGAGTCCATCCGTGTGGACACACCGCATTACCCTCGTTGGATCACCAAGGAGTCCAAGGATATCCTGGAGAAGGTGGGAGGGCCTGGGTTAGGCTGTCTGGGGCAGGGACTGGTAAATGTGGGGTCGCAGGAATGCCAGAAGCCTCCCCTGTCTGGAATGGCAGCCTCACTGATGCTCCCGTCCTAATACATTGGGGGTATTGTTCCCTCGTCACGTTCCCAGGAGCTCCTGTCTGTGTAGCCTGCACCAAATTGGCCTGGCATGTGGTTACAAGCTTAGGTCAGGAGACAGACAGACCTGAGGCTAAACACTGAGTCTGTCTACTTATCTGCAAAATGGAGGCTATGAAAGAACCTGCCTCACAAAAGTTGTTGAGAAGAAAACATAAACGTAGCTCAGGTCTGTGCCAGGCAGAAGGCGAACCCTCAATAAACAGCCACTGCTTTTACTCATGAGTCCATGCAGCCCCCGCCCACAGCCTGTTGTCTCTGGGGGACCTGGGAGCACAGCAGGCCCGAGAAGATCCATCCCCTCAGCCCAGAGGCCCTGAGCTATACTACTGGGCTGGGCCAGGTCTGCCTGGGCACCTTGGATCTGCTTGGGGGTTTGCTGAGGCTCCAATTTCCTACAGCCCTCGGGTGCTAACTGGGGCCCCTGCTGGGTTGCAGCTGCTTGAAAGAGATCCAACCAAGAGGCTGGGAGTGACTGGGAATATCAAAATCCACCCCTTCTTCAAGACCATCAATTGGACGCTGCTGGAGAAACGTCAGGTGGAGCCACCCTTCAAGCCCAAAGTGGTATGTGATCCAACTCCAGCAGGCCACCCACTTGATGCTGCCCCTGCTGCCTTCTGGGGTGGGCACCCCCTTCCCCTGCCTCTTTTGCACATTGTTTACAGGCTTTCTCCCTCTCCTTTCTTCTAGCAAACTTGCTTCCCCGACCTCTCTGGCACATTCAGTCACAGCCTCTAGTCTGATATTCTTACCCTCTCTCTCCTCACTCAGTCATTCACCAAACACTGGGAACTGTAGATCTAACCATCCTTTAACATATGTTCTTTAGCGTCCACTGTATGCAGGGGACTATGCTTTGGGAATCAGAGTTAAAGCCTCGTTTCCTCCCTCCATCCATCCGATCCATTTTCCAATAAATATTGGAAATGCTGAGTGCCTGTTGGGTGCAGAGCACTGTGCTGAGCTGCTCAGCAAAGTGGGAAGCCCAGTCCCAGAGTTGGAGGAGCCCTGGAGAGATAAGAAACTTGAAAACAGATGATCATTCATGATATAACACAACAGCATGAGAGATGTCACAAGACCACACACGATCAGTTGTCATTGGGCAGGTCTGTCAGCAGGAGCCCAGAATGCATAGAACCGGGTGGGTCTGGGAGGAAGTGGCACGTGGGCAGGACTGGGCAGCTAGGAGGCGGTCCAGGTAGAGGAGGGATGGTTCACACAAAGGCCCAGAGGCCACAGAGGCCACCAAGGAGCCAGCAGGAGAGCAGAGGTAGATTGAGGCCAAAATTTGGAGTGCCCCAAACCCCTCAGAGTTTGGACTCTGTGGCCCTTCTCTGATCACAGTTCCTCTCACTCCCTATCTCTCCTCTGTTTCCCCTCCTTCCACAGGACACTGGGCAGCCTATGTGACGATTATGCCCGGAGGTTTCCGAGCACTTCCCCTGCTCCAGGGGCCTTAAACTCAATGCCTCCTGGGCTGTGCACATCACTTCCAGGCCAGGCCAATGCAGGGAAATTATATAGCCTGCTCTCTGTATTTTGCTTATGATAGAAAGAGGGATAGATTGGTTTCTCTGCACTAAGAAACACAAGGTGGGCATGCTGATTGACAGCCCATGTTAGTGGGAAGTGGTGGGGCCTGTGATGAGTGACCCAAGGGGCTTCAGCACCAGGAGAGGACTTGCCAGGAAATGGGCCCAAGGCTGCTCTGTTCTGCCCCTTTTCAAAAGAAGCCAGAAATCAGGGGTTTTATGTCAAATTGCCTGATTTAAAAATATTGATTCAAATGCCATTAAAACCACCGCTAGTCAAAATGATTGTCCTGGCCAGCTCAATTTGGCCAGAGGGCCACCAGCTTGAGATCTTTGTTACCATTTCACTACATCTTCAGAAGCAGAGTTGGCAAATTTTTCCAGTGAACAACCGATAGTAAATAGTTTAGGTTTTGAAGGCCAGCCGGTCTTAAAGCAGCCATAAAATAACATGTTGATGAATGGTGTGGTCGTGTACTAATAAAACTTTATTTATGGACACTGAAATGTGAATTTCATTTAATTTGCATGTCATGAAATAGTCTTCTTTTGATTTTTTTTCTTAAACATTTAAAAATGTAAAAGCCGGGCCGGCCGAGGGGCTCAGTTGGTTAAGAGCTCGCTCAAGAGTGTGAGCTCTGAGCAACAGCGGTTCAAGTCCTTGCCCAAGCTGAGCTGCCACAGGTGGCAGGATGGCTCAGCTAAAAAAAAAAAAAAAAAAAAAAATGTAAGAGCCATTCTTAGATTGTGGGACTTACAAAAACAAACAAGCAGTGGTGGGGTTTGGCCCTCCGGCTGTAGTTTGCCAGAACCCTGCTCAGGACCTGCCCACCTCTCCTTAAGCAGGCCCAGAGCGCCCTGCTGGCTTCTTTCATCCCCCTTAGGGAAACAGCATCTGCCTTCCTGCTGGGCTTCTCTCAGGCTGTTGGGAGAGACTCCCTTTTCTGTTCTTAATAAGGACAGCTCTGGTCCAGCCCAGCCCAAAAGCAGTCCCAAGGTGTTTGGAAACTTTTGGAAGGCCGCCTCTTGGGTCCCGCTCATCTCCCCCTGTCCTCTGCCTGCAGAAGTCCCCTGGAGACTACAGCAACTTTGACCAGGAGTTCCTGAATGAGAAGGCACGCCTCTCCTACAGTGACAAGAACCTCATTGACTCCATGGACCAAACAGCATTTGCTGGCTTCTCCTTCATGAATCCCAAATTTGAGAGGCTCCTGGATAAATGAGGTTCCCAGGTATGCCCCCCAACTCATCCCAGCCAAGGAACATGGCCTGTCTGCCCCCAGCCCAAGCAGAGCAGGCTTGGCCCTTTGCATCGTCACCTGCCCACCCCCCACAATAAGCAACAGTGTAACTGTCGTGATTTCTGCTGCTGTCCCACCCCCATCCACAGGAGGGGCCTTGGCTCCTGTCTGGCTGGTCTCTTAATGGTACTTCCTCTGTGAACTGAGTGTGAATTTGCTTTCCCTCTGTCCCCAGAGGGAAACTGTAAATCCTGTGTGTCATTACTTGAATGTAGTTATCTATTGAAAAAATATATATATATGCATATATATGTATACATACACACACATATATATATATATATAATAGGCTGTATATATTGCTCATTAGAGAAAAAACATGGAGGACTGGTAATGTGTTGATCTTTTACAAAAATTATATATCCAAAAAAAAAAAAAAAAGAACATAAGCTGTTTGAACCACCAGGTTCTTTTATTTGTGTGTCTAAATAAACACCAAATGGTACTGACTTGGCTGTCGGGACCGTGTTTGTCCCAGGAAGCTGGTGGCTGCTGCCCCCACTTTTGGCAGCTGTGTCCTGGACGCTAACTGAGCTGTCAGCTGCAGACACAGACCCCTGTGTTTTCATGCAAATGTGTTTGTATTTATGGGTTTCCTCTGGTTCTGGGGCCCTGGGCCTAAAGCAGAAGGTTTTTCTGGGTGGCTTACAGAGCCCCAGATGTCTGTGGGGAGATGGCAGGAGGTAGGACCAACTGCAGACAGTCTGTCTCAGGAGAGTGAGGCACCAGTCTAGAAGAGCAGAGAGGTGAAGGCCTGGCCAGCATGAGTGAAGGCCGAGAGGCTGGTGCAGACTGGAATGGAGGACAGGGAAGAAAAAGTTAATACATCTCAGGCTTCAGGCAGATCTGGATTCAAATTGCAGAGTGGCCAAGAGACATAGGCATGGCACTTAATCATTTTAAGCCTCAGTTTCCTCATCTATAAAATGGGGACAAGGCAAGGTGATGCTAGATTTAACTCCACATCTCATTACTATTTATGCCGCAGAGGAGTCTGTATCTGAGTTCTGGAACTTATTTCTCAGGAGCCCTTGCCCACCTGGGGAAGGGGCGGGAAGCAGGGTAGGGGGAAAAGGTGAGAATATGCCAAGTGGTTGGACTGAGGCTGACAGCCATGCTCCAGTGTGCCTGTTGTGCAGTAAGGAAAGTGACTTCAAGGCGGCGGCCAGTGTCCCCTAAGCATGAAGCTCTTCCTCCCAGCACCTCAATGTCCCGTTCTCTTCCACTTCCTACTTCCTACTTCTTCCTCTCTGCCTCTCTCCCTCCTGCTCCCTTTTTCTGTCTCTGGGGCACAGGCCTTGAGGCAGGGCCCGCCTTCGAGCCCCTCTGGTCCAGCCCCCAGCCCTTTGTCCTTAGAGGTGGGTGAGGTGCCCCCAGCCCCTGATTGGCTGGTCCTGGCAGCCAAGCAGCTGACTTCCAGCAAGTTCACTTTTCTGGGCTGAGGTACAAGTTTCCATAGCTGGAGAGGAGCAGGATGAGGTGGGGCTGGTGCTGGCCAGGGGAGGGGGCTGTGGGGATGAGAGACCACACGTTTCCCTCTGCTCTCCACCCACCATCCTCTCAGGGAACACGTGTTGGATCCCGGCTCTGCACAGAGCAGTGCACACCCTGAAGTGAGGTTCTGTCCCTTGGGATCACTGTGTCCGGCAGGGAAGACAGCACGGCATGGGCTGTGCTGGGGGATGCTGGGTCTGTGAAAGCCCACAGGAGGTGTGTGGGGACTCCTGTCCCCTACCTATGCTGCAACATGCACAGGCCCTGAGAAACCCCCCCATACCCCAAGGCTGTCCAGAGTAGGTTTAGAACAAAAATATGGTTGGTGTTTGCATTCAGAGCCTCTCGTCATTCTCCTGCAGCTCCAAGGCAGAGCTTTGCACCCAGAGCCCCAGTTGCCTCCTGTGTGGAATGGGAAAATAAATAGTTTATCCGCCAGAGGCAGTGGAGGGTGGGAGGGAAGAACATGGTACCCGGAATCAGGAGCCTTGGGCTTGAGTCCCACTGTCACCCACACGCTGTGGAACCTCCGTGAGTTTCTTCAGATGGCTGCAGTTCCCTCATCTGTAAAACGGGATCGTTAATCCCTGCTACCTTGTGGAGCTCTTGGCTCTGGGGAGCCCCTAAGGACTGATGCTGGTACCCCAGTATGCCAGGCAAGGCCAGGAAAGGTCAGGAGCTGGGCTTGAGGGGCCCACCTCAAGCAGCCTGGGATGGGGAAGCAGCTGTTGGGGACGCTGCCAAACTGTCTGGGAGGCTGTGCAGCTCCAGGCCTGTTGCCAAAGTTGGGTAGATGCCAGGCCTGACCCATCGGCCTCAGGAAACGCCTCTCCTGGCTGGGCCCAGAGCCACACTTTCACTGGGATCTGGGAGTCTGGAAGCAGGCAGGCTACAACACCCCACCTGCCGAGCAGGTGTGCGATAAGAGTACTGAGCTTGGCCCCCACTGGAGGGCCAGCTGGAGTAACACACCCCACCTGAAATGTGTGCCAGGCCTTGTGCTCGGTGCTGAGAAGAGTAACACAGCAGGGGGGGAGGGGAATGGGGGAGGGCCGGAGCCTGGGCTCTGCTGTCAGATGGCCCTGGGTTCAAATCCGCTATGTCCCTAGTTGTATGACCTCAGTGAGTGACAACCTCCTGGAGCTTCAATTTCCTTTTCTATAAAGTGGGGATCACAGTGCTGCTGCTCGTGGACTAGGATGACCTCTATACGCACCTCCCATGGGTTCAGGACACAGTAGAAGCTTAGTGAACAGCAGCCATTATGATCCCATCCCCTCAACGGGATGAAACATGACAGGATGGTGGGCTTGCCAGCTGCACATTCGAATCCCTGGGCCTTCTGACTGGACTGCAGGAGGGCAACTTGGCAGTTTCCATTTAAACCTAAAATGCACCCACCCCCATGCCCAGCAGTCGCCCTTGTCACCCACAGGGTCCAGGATCCCCACCACTGCATGGATTAATTGGGAAAAACTGGAAGCAAGCAGAACACCCCGCAGCTGGAGAGCTTGTTAAATCCTTCCCTGACATGAAAAGCGGTACAGGGCCAAGAGATCAAAAAGAGCAAGTGAGAGAACCAAAGGTTCAGAGTGACTTCACCCTGTGGTTCCATGTGCCAGCTTGTGAAGGCACCCAGAGGTCTAGGAGCACAGGGTGGGGATACAGAGATGGAGGACCACAAATCCCTTTAAGGCAGTGGCTCTCAAATTCATTGTGCAACCAATACGGGTAAGATATGTGCGTTGTGCCAAGTTCTAACCAGGTCTCAGCCCTGACTGTACATTGGAACCCGGTGCCCAGGCCCCCCAGGTCTAATAAAATGGTGATCTCTGGAGGGGGCCCAGGCATCCGTGTTTTTAAAGCTCCTGGGAGGGTCCAGTTTGCACCATGATTGGGAACCTGGGAATCTGCATTTTGCCTAGTAGTCCAGGTGAAGCCAGGAAATGCTGCTCTGAACAGGTCACACCCTGGAAGGCGAAGTCACGGCACAAGGCCTGTGTTCGGCAGGATCCGATGGCAGAAGCCCCCTGCTAGAGTGCCCACCACTAGTCAGATTGGTGAGTGGAGGTAGGAGGCCGCCGCCCGGGCCGGGCTGCAGCGCCCTCTGGTGGCCGACCAGCGCACACCTGGGAGGACCTGCTTTGTACCAGGTACAGTGCAGGGTTCTTAACCCAGCACGTGTCATTAGTCCCTGGGGAAATGTTCATGCAAGGAATTGCTGGAGGACCATTCTGCAGAGACACAGAGACATGAAAGTTACACATCTAGACAGCTCCCCTAACATTTAAGAGGCTCTCTGGGCTAGTCCATATCTCAACCCCATTCTCTGATATTCATCCCAGTGTTACAGCCACGTTTCTCAATTTACTCCTTATTAAGGTGTGCATAACTGATATGAGCTGGGATGTGTTCTGTAGGTTTTAATAGCAGGAAATAAGGGGTGTGCAGCATTTGCCAGGGTGGAAGGGGCTAGTGGGCTTCAGGACTTCCCACTGATGCTTCCGGCCTCATTCCAGCAGGCTGGGGGTTCACACTTCTGCAGCCCAACATGCAACTGCCTCCTCCTCGCCCTGCTTCAAGCTGAATGAGACTTTTTGGGCTCTCTCCTGCACCCTGATTGTGCCCAGAGGTGACCTCAGACTGCCCTGTGTGAGGCTAGAGGCTGGAGAGCTCATTTTAGTTCCTCTGAGTCCTGACCACCCTCTCAGGCACCTTCTTATCTCCCTGGGGCCGGGGAAGGGGAGATGCACAAAACACAGAAACAGGTAGCAAAGAAGGGGACGGGAGCAAATAAAGGTTTCCAAAACTGTGAGCCAGGCCTGAGTCAGTGTAGCCCAGGTTAGGCCTGACCTGTGAGTTTTGGAGGTACTGGGGTACTTCCTGGATCTCTCTTCATATGATTGAATTCAACCCTCGCCAGCTGTGGCCTCAGTGATTTATGTCTTTGGAACTTTAATACAGGTTCTCAAATCAGGCTCTTAAGAGGCCATAAAAGACCCCCTTCTCCTTTCTTTCCCTGCTGTGAAATACACACTCTGAGGGCCCTCATATTTGCTGCTTAGCCCACATTAAGCACTGTGCAAAGCCCAGAGCCTTTTGGTGTTTTTCCTTTTCTTCTGAGAGGGGAGTTTAGCTTGCTGTTGGTTTCTCCTATGGTGGTAGACACAGGCTCTGTAGGTAGGGCAGCAGTGTCAGGCTCTGTTCCTGACTTTGTGCATTCCTTCACTGCACAGGTGCCTGCTCTGTGCCAGGAGCTTGATGGGCGTCACTTGGAGTTGTCACTCGACAGGCACGACATAGCCCTCACTGTGTGGCTTAAGAGCTCATGACAGTTAAACTTGGGGTCCAGCACTGCACTTGATACTTTTCCTGTATCACTGACAGCAATTAATCTTCACAACAATCCCATTAGGAAATGACTGTTAGTCTTCTCATTTTACAAATCAGCAAACTGCCCTGAGAGGTTAAGGAATTTGTCCAGTTGCTCTGCGTTTGGGGCTCCATTATGTTGTTTCCTGCAGAGATGAGCACAGTCTCCCACAGTCTCCTGGGCTTGCTCAGGAGCTATCAGGGAGAGCGCATGGGTCTCTATCCTTGTTCTCAGATGCCCCAGGAAGAGGGAAGGTGAGCCTGGTGGCAGGCAGGGACAGCAGAGTACAGCTAGGATGGGGTACAGGCAGGCTGACTTGGAGCTGGAAGGGCCCTTGGAGATCATGGACCTCCAGTGGGGATCTCCATGGATCCACAGTGGAAAACTGAGGCTAGAGAGGGGAAGGGGCTAGGGAAGGGCCACACAGGAAGACCTTTGGAGGGAGCAGGCAGGTGTGTCCCCAGCCTTCCTCTTATAGGGTAGAAATCTGGCTCCTCCTTTCTGCAAACTCACACCGAGCCCAGCACACTGTGGGTGGTTGGTAAATATTGATGAATGAATACAGGTGAGTAAACAGGAAGTGTCCTCGGAGTGCTTACTAGACCCCCAGCACAATCCTGGACCTCACTCTGCCCACCTCATCCTGCTCTGGTATCCGGAGGGGGCAAAGGTAATTAGTAGGTACAAGCAGGGGTAACTACCAGTCCTGCCTTGGGTCATTAGCAGCAGCAGCTGACCAAAACCCACAGACCTCAGTAGTCAGTGTCCACCAGCTGATAAGTGGTAGAGGCCCACAGCCCCAGCTGTGGGTTGGGACCCAGTTCAAGAGCAACGCAGCTGCAGCCAGCCACAGCCCATTAAAACTGGCCATCAATAGTATTGGCAAGGCCTCTCCCAACCACTTCCTGGGTTTTAAATCATGAGTTCAGAAACAATTAAGCCAATAAGACGCACTTGGCAAAAAGCTTGCATTGAATTAAAAATGGATCTTGTTAGCCTTAATTGTCCTTGGCTCTGTTTGGAAACAAGGTGTAGTTAAAAAAAAAAAAAGACTGTTTTTAAACCCTGGCTCAGGTTTGCTATAGCTGGATATCAAATGCCCCCATTTATACTGGACTCATACTCAGCCTAGTATGTGCCAAGAGGTGTCGGTGCTCGTGGCCAAACTATAGGATGCAGGCCTGGAAATGAATCTGGATCTACAGCTGCCTTTTCCATCGCCAGCTGCTACTCAGCCTCTCTGAGCCTCAGTTTCCTCACCTGTAGCTTGTGCATAATAGGACCTGCTTTATAGGGTTGTTATGACTCTGATGTATGGAAAATTTTTCATGTGGCTCGGCACACAGTAAGTACTCAGGAAATCTAAGATTATTATTCTTACTTTTGACTTCATGAACATTTTATGTGTCTTCATGCATGTTTGCCTTAATGATGCTATAAGTATATGGCATGGCTGGGCCCAAGCTAGTAGTGTCCAGGAATCCTGTAGAAAGGAGACACAATTTTCCTGGGATGGGAGTGAAGAGCCCTGGGTTGTGAGTCAGGAGTGGGTTCCAGACCTGGCAGCAGGGTCCTTTGCGACCTCCCTTGCCATGGGCTTTGATAGCTCGACAGCAGGAAAATGAGTGTCTTAGGCTGATAGGAATGGCAAATGGGTCTCATGTGGTTTTAAATTGTGAAAAAAACCCATTTGAATGTCAAATGTCTCAGTTTTGGGCACAAATTAAACCCAAATGATATGAAAGGCAATAATTACCACTGTCACGAAATTCTGTTGAAAGTTGTGGGAGCAGCAGAAAGCAACTGATGAATGGAGCGTGACCCCTTCTCTGCCCCCTCTTGTTTGATCTTATGGCCCACTATGGCGGGCCAGCCGCCACAAGTCGATCAGTACCCGAAGGGGGGAGTGGGAATGAATAAAAAGACACTCACACAAATGCTGATGCGGCCGGTCTTCGGTGATGCTGAAGCCCCGAGTTTATTTCTCATCACCAATATATGCAGTTTGAGTACGTGCAACACTGCAGGGACAACTACGCATTACCTCATACAGAAGCAGATCATTAACTATCTACTGGAGACTTAAAGATCAGAGGGACCTTAGGGGATTAGCTTCCCAGGACACTTTCTTCCATTAACCCAGATAACCATCTATCTATAGTGTCTCCTAAGGAACTGGCCATCCTCACCACATACCTCAGCAACTTGTAAGCACCCTCCAGGTGCAGGCAGAGACAATGCCTTAGGAGCAAAAACAGGTTAAGCATGAACCGAGCCAGTCTGTAAGGCTCTGAATTACCTGTAACCATGGCTCCCCACAGCCCACACTGAAATCTCTCCCTCGACCCTCATGACCTTTCTCAGCATGTTCCAGAGGTAGATCTGCAGACCTGCCGCAGGCCCCCAAAAGTATCCTGTGCTGCTAGCACCAGGGAGCAGCTATGCTGGCTGGGCTGATGTTTCTTGAGCAATTACTAAAGTCAGATCCTGTGCTGCAGGCTTTTCCAATACATTTGTGGTCATGACTCTGAAATGAAGGCTGTGCTTGTAAATTCACTCCGTAAGCATTTAGTGAGCACTGACTGCATGTCGGGGACTCTGCAGGAGGTTGAGAAACTGGTACAAACAAGGAACTGGTCGCACGGGGATCTGTAAGTGGACAATTGCTATGCAGGGGATGGTGGGTGCACAGAGGAGGTGCTGGCTCTTCCTGGAAGGGCAGCAGGGACCAGGGAAGGCCTCCTGGAAGAGGAGACCTCTAATCCTGACATCCAAACAATGAGTAGATCCCATCATCAGACCTGCAACACTTTTGAACCAAGCATAGCTTAGAGGCAAAGTAATGGGACCCTGTTAGCAAGGGCGAAAATGAAAACTGACCCTCTTTTCCCTGGAAGACAATTTGGCTCCCTTTGGGAGTGTTGATAAACCCAGCATTTTCACTGCTGGAGAAAGTCTTGGTCGTGACATTGAGAGCTGCACACATGACAACCTTCATTGCAGTGTTTGTAAAGTACAAAATCGGAAACAACCTAAATGTCCTCAGACTAGATCAAGAACTGGAGGTGGGGCCGGCCGAGTGGCGCGATGGTTAACAGCTGGCTTGGGACGCCAGAGGGCCCCGGTTCGGATCCTACATATGAGGGCCAGTGACCCTGCGTAGCCAGTGGCCAGCATGAGCGCCTAACAGCCGCAGTGAGCGGCCTCCAGAAGCCGGCGACTGATCTGCCTCGCCGGGGAAGAGTGTGCAATGATGGTGCCAACTTGGGCCAGTGAAGCCACGTCCTCTACAACTAGACTGAAGAACAAAAGGACAGCAACTTGTCTGTTCCCTTTCCCCAAATTCCCCAGCATTGTTCCCATCCCCCCAATTCCCCAATAAAAATCTTAAAAAAAAGAACTGGAGGTGAATTCCTGCAGCGGAATACTGGTTCACCCGCTTTCACTGGGGGAGAGAACTACCTGCTTTAACACTGATAAAGTCTCAAACCCACGTGAAGGGGAAAAGCACAACGTGGAAGGCCATGTGCGGTGCAGGGGATGAAATAGTGCAGAGCAGAGCGGCTCAGAGCTGAGGGATGCAAAGCTCTGTGTGAAGTGCACAGACCTGCAGGGGTGAGAACACCCCGCCAGGACACTGGTTACCTCTAGGGGGTCCGGAGGGTGCCTGAAGGGCTTGACTTCCATCTGTGATGTTTTGTCTCTTTTTAAAAATCTGAAGCAGGTAAAGAAAACTGTTAGAGGTGCCTTGGTCTCAGGAGGGGGCCTGTGGATATTTATTTTAATCTCTGCTCTATGTTCAAAATGTTTCATGATTTTTTTAAAAAGTGTTATTTTTAAAGAGCACTGAGGTGTTCTGTCTCTTGACCTGACTGCTTGGGTACCCAGGCATCCCTTTAAAATGGTTCGTTACACTGACCATTTGTTCTAGGTACTTTTTTTTATGGAGGTGACATTTCACAGTTTTTCAAAGTTAAAAAGAATGAGTAGGTGGGAGGCTGGGGCCAGGGAAGCAGTGCCAGGCATAGAAACCGGCAGGAGCCAAGGCCTGGGAGCCAAGCAGAGCCCCTTGTGTGCAGAGCCCTGGGAGCCCAGGTCCAAGGATGGTGGTCCCCAGAGCATCAAGCCTGCCTGGGTTGGACTCTCTGCTCCCCCCTTCCCCACCTGGCACCCCAGGGCTAGGCCTGCCCCAGTCTCTGGCCTTCGTGAGACTGGATGGGCACCAGTGGGAGCTGAGAGGGAATGGGTTTAATGAAGTGCTTTCGCCAGCTTCTGGTGCGGCAGGAGGTGGTTGTGTGGCCTGCAGGAGGGGGTTATTATGAGCCTGGCATCTTTTGTTGGAGGCGCCAGGGGCAGCTGTGCTAATGGGGGAACTCATCGTGGTCGTGGCAGCGTGACAATCTGACAACCAGGCCAGGGAGAGAGAACAGAGCCACCCCGGGCTGAGGCGCAGAGAAGCAGCTGCCTTCATGAGCTCAGTAGGCATTTCTGGGGCTTTTGGAAAATTGGGGGATGCACAGCGTGGGCAAGGGTGATGGGAAAGTTTTGTTTTTCTGGGGAAGCAGCAAATGAGCTGTGCAGGCCCAGAAAAGAAGGGGCACCTGACATCAGGGGCAAGGCTGAGGGATTTATCTGACAAGTAATCTTAGTAAGAAAACACTTAGACATAAAGAAAAGCATAGAGATTGATTTTGCCCCAGGCTAAGGAATAAATCATTAGCGATAAACTCGCTGCCCTTTGTACCCCACTCCCCAACACAGGCTCCTCATTTCGTCTGCATTCTTCCAGAGAGAACCAGCTTTTAGTGTGTGGAGCATTGTTATCTGGAATGGCCAAGGCAGGCAGATAACTTCCAGAGGCGCCCCTGAACATATCTAGAGAATTGTTTTGCATTTTTTAAGCTTCATGTAAACAGTTATCTTGGCTGAGAGGATTCTTTTACCACCAGATTTCCTTCTGGCACGCCTTTGAAATCCCTGTAGTGCAAGTGCCTTTCTTTTCTTTTTCACCCATTTAAAGTATACAATTCAATGGTATATTCATAGAGTTGTGCAACCATTGCCACAATTTTAGAACTGTTTCCTCATTCAAAAAAGGAACCCCATGCTCTACCCATCCTCCCCTAAATCCCCCATAGCCTCAGCCCTAGGCAACCACTAATCTTTCTGACAGTATAGATTTGCCTATTCAGGACATTTCAAATAAATAGAATCATACAATATGTACTCTTTTGTGACTGGTTAAGGCATTCCTTTTCATGATTGTATGATATTCAATCACATAAACTTACCACAATTTATTTATCCAAATGAATGATGTGGAATCCTGCTTTCAGCCAAGATGGAGTAAAAGTGACTGTGTTTACCTTCCTGCCTGAAAAAATTAAAAAACAAAGATAAAATCGATAAGACAACAGTTCTGATGATGCTGGATGTCTCAGATGACCAAAGGCAGTATTCTCTGAGATGAGAAACAAAGGAGGTGAGACCTGTGATTGCCCCAGCTTTACTGCTGGGCACAGGGAGAGGGACCCAGATGGTGCCCAGTGGACTCCCCAAGTTGAGAATACAAAGCTGTGAGAGTTCAGGGAAGCCAAATTGGCTAGAGTTACAATGCAGCCTATTGGAGATGAGAGAGCTGCAGAAAGAGAAAAGCTTAGAGACCTGCAGAGGACCCTCTTCAAGTCCTCAGCTGAGTACTCATTAGTGCATGTGTGTAAAGAAACAACCCAAGGCTGGGGAAAGAACCTTCTGAATATATGAGCAGGAACAATCCTCAGAACTTGCACAGGGTTGGGAACGGTGCCTGTTCCTAGCAGCCAGACTGGAAAACCTCATAATTCAGGGTCTTGCAGTGCTGTTGTCGGAGAGTGGGCCCTTCTCGGCGCAAAGTCCAGGTCCTTGGCAACTAGAGCAAAGAATTGAACGAGATGCCGGAATAAAGTAACTGAAAAAAAGTTTATTCGAAGAGTTAGTACATTTCAAAGAAGTAGAAGTAGGCCTGAGCAGTAGAGAATGGCTCAAGGGCCCGTTATTAGAAGAGAAATTACATTCCAAAGAGTTTGGAGCAGGCCACGCGCAAAGGCTCAAAAAAGGGAGGAAGGGGTTCAAAAAGGGAAGAAGCGGTCAAAAAGAGCAGGGTGGACTTCCCAGGACTTGGAGTTTTTATCCCTTCTCTAGAATGGGCTGTTCCCCTAAGGGCGTGGGACCACTTGATTGGCACCTGTGATTAAGAAGAGGTGATGCACAGGTGCAAATGACTGGGCCGATCTAGTTGGGTATTTTGTGCCCATTTGTTTTCCCACAGGGGTAGGTAATTACAGTACAAAGGGGGAGTTTTGAGTGGAGAGGGAAAGTCACCTGGATGGTCACATCCTGTAGGACATGCAGGAATGCAGAGACCCAATGCCTGCCTCTTAACTGCCTGCCTTGTTTTCCCCTTGAGAGACTTGATTCCCATAAAATCTCAATGGGAAGCTGAGGGACAGGAGGTCTCTTCTTCTGATCAGCTTCCTGCTGGGCAGGGGCGTAGAGCTGTCCCTGCCTATTGGGGGATTCATGGAACTCTCGTCCTAGCTGATCTTAGATGAGAGGAAGGGGTCTCGAGATCTGCCTGGAAGACCATGTTGGCTTCTTTGGTTGTGACTGGCAATCTTGTTGGGGTGTCATCTGTATCCCCAAGTTCCCTGAATGACGAAAAATATTTTAATTAATAAATCTGTTAGCTCTCATGAAGCCTGTAGCCATTCAGCCTGTTACTCAGGTGGCCTCAATTGTCTGGGCCCAGAATGGGTTTGGCATTCAGCTTACTGGCCTGGGGGATATTAGGAAGTCACAGGCTTTCAAGTAGTTATCTGAAGCAGGGGTATGGGACTTCTATTGTTTAGGATTAAGAAACTGATTTACAAAGCAATTAAGAAGCAGGGGCCATTGATTAAGAGCTGACTTAGGACACCAGCTCTGAGGAGCAGGGCCCCTGTTTGGATCCCACATGAGGGCCAGTGACACTGCCCTCCACAGCTAAGATGGTGAACAACAGCTCGACCTGGAGCCGGGCTGCCGTGAGTCGCCGGCGACAGCGTAGGCTGCAGCCCCTGCT